CGTGCCCCGGCTCTGCCTCCCGCTCAGCCGAGGCTGCCGGCCAGCGCCCCTGCCCGCAGCCGGGCCTGGCTCCGCACGCCGCCCGGGGCAAAGATCGGCGGTGCCCGTGGGCCGGGAGGCGCTTCGTGGCCTCTCGGGTGCGCACGGAGCTGGGCCGAGCCGCCCCTCCTTCCTCCTGTCCGGTTACCTCCGCACAATGGGCACAGTGTGTGCCTGCGGCTTCCTCGGCGGGAATTACAGTTGCATGGGCAGGCACTTTATCCTTCCTGATCTCTCCTCTTCCCCCCAGGGTTTTGTTTTCCAGCAGGCTGAGTTCAAAAAGGGCACGAGATACCGCTGGCAAGCAGTCTGGCGCTAAACAAACCTTTTTAGTCAGAATCACATGGATTAGACCCAACTTTCCATTCACATGCAGTGCTACCTGCGAGTTTCTCTGAATTTCACGGTGGCTGGGCTGCTACTCTGAGTGCGAAGGCGGCTGAGATAGCACCCGAAGCCCGTGACGGAGGTCTCCAGCACAACTCGCCGGGGTAGCTGTGTGCTGCTGGTGACTCTGGGGGCATATCCAGTGCAGACTGCCAAAGCTGCTCTCCTTCAAGGAGATGCTCTAGCTCTGCCAGACAGCAATCTGAGAGCCGGCTGCCTAGGAGACTGCCAAAGACACCTTGTCTTCAGCCAGAGGTGAAGCTTGATGCACAAAGTCCTTGGGCTACTCTGAACAGCGCAGCTAGAGTCTGTCCCTGAGTAAGGAGTATTTTGGCAGATTCTTCCTCTTCCTCCCTTGCCCCCAAACTCTGTCCCACCAACTATCATGCCCCCTTTTGTTCATCCCCTGCTTGCAGCAAGTTTGGAGGACAGTCTGAATAGCATCGTGCTGCCTTTTTATGGTAAATATGTGGCAAGAGAGCACTGTAGGATGGGCGGCTTCTCGGAGCAGCAGCAAGTGCATGAGACTGGGCAAGCCTTAAATTGCCTTGGCTTACGTGCCCATGCTGTGTGTGGCAGCAGGAGGTGAAGGGATGGGTCGAGGGACTAGTTTCTCTCTTGACTGTGCCCAGAATGATCTAGGAGCAATTCTTGCCTTAGTGCTTACTGTCAGTCTGGGTGCTGAGGGCTTGTGCTTACTGGAAATCCACTGGCTGTAACCGAGGCCAAATAGTTCCAGTGCTCTGGTGCTGAGGGGTGCAGGCTCAGCACTAACGGTTAGAAAAGAAGCAAACGAAAAAAAAAAAAACAAATGTTCTGCCAGTCCATCTGTGGGTACAATGCTGAAGTCCAGCTTGCTTGGCTCTCAGTGTCTTGCTCTTTGCTCAGATCCATGAGACCATGCCATTTCTGGGAAGCCTGACTTCAGGTGCAGCACTGCCATGGGTATAAGGCACTTCATCCTAAGTAAGCCTCAATCACATCTTTCAGAGTGCTGGGGTGAGGATGTTTTTGTACAGTACCTGCCAGGGTTGGAGCTGGGGAGCAGGATGTGGGAGAATACACTCAATATATTGATGCTGTGTCTTGGGAGATGGGTAATTGGGGTGGGAAGTGGATATTCTCCCCAGCCTTGTTTTCCTGCTGACCTTCCCCTGCCAGAAGGGAAGTAGCCTGGCAGTATGAGGTCAGGGATGTGGATTTTTCTGGCTGTGGTTTGAAAGCGAGCAGTTCTGATGAAGAATGAGATGGCCTTTCTGGCCCTGTCTCTTTAGGGCATCCCTTCCTGCCCGTCTCAGCTCTCACACCATGGTCTGGTTATGTATTTTCTTCGCTTCTGGATGAGCTCAGCCAATACTTTGGGATAGCTAGGGATAAATTATGAATTGCTCCAAATAACCTGTAGATGGAAGCGTGTCCAGGGAGTATTTTAGTCCCTGTTACATGAACCCTGCCTAGAATGGAAGGCCTCATTCACTCATGATATCCCACTGGAGGCCAACACCTTCCATGAGAGCTCCAAATCTCTGTCCAAATGAGGAGACAAGGGCAGTGAAGCACACCAGGCTCTGAGCATGGCAATGTTGGTGGTGGCAGCTTGTAGTTCTGATCTTGGAAAGCCCTCCTGGGGTCTGGAAAGGCAACAGCTGGCAGGGGAAGCTGGTGGTGTAGTACCTAAGTTCCTGAAGTGTTTCTGTCAGATCTGTTACTTGAAGCAGTAGTCTGACAGGAAGGGAAACCCAGGTCAAACAAGCTTAAGGGGCCTTTTTATGTGTGTTTTGACTTAGAGGCATTTTGTTGCTGTTCTCTGTTGGGGTGCCCCTGCCCTTCTCAGCTTAGCTCAGGCTTGGCATCTCTGGAGAAAGACTCCTTTTGGCTTCCCAGGAGGAACAACATGTCTGGCAATATGTGCAGAGCCCTGCCGTGAGATACTGACTGCCTCCTGCCTCCAGATGCCTTTTCCAGAAAGCCATTTAGAGCCACAGATTGTTACTTGGATAACTCCCTTCCCTGATTCATTAGCAATGTGCAGTCTCTCCTGTAATACTCAAATCTGCCTGTGCCAAGGGCTGAAAGGGAGAGGCCATGTCTTTTAATAACCATGTGATGCAGTTGGAAAAAACTTTTGGACACATAGTTCTCTGGTGGCCTGAGTTGATGGAAACACTCCAAGGGAGAGACACAGCTGGGCCCTGAGGGAGAGGGCACTGCAACTGCTTTTGGATGTGTGAGGGGTAACTGCTTGAGCTTTCTGACCTTCCTTTCACCCAGCATCACCCTAAGCTCCCCTGATCCCACCTGGAGAAGGCAGCAGACCTGGAGATTGGTCCCGCCATGTCGCAGATCTTGCAGGTCCTGTGTGTGGTGTTGTGTAAATAACTGCTGGTGGCTGGGTTGAGGCCGTATGATGTGGGTTTCATCCTGGAGATGAGACTCCTGCCCTGTGCAGATGGGAACTCTGCTGTCACAGTGGCGCTGTGGTGGATCCCAGTGGACAGTGCTGCTGTGTGACAGGCACATATCTGGGTCTCCCCACTCAGAGATCTGATCTCTGCTGAAGGGGCCTTTGCTTTTCAAGCTCTTTGCTGCTAAAGTACTCAGTGCTGTTGCCAGTAGCTTCTGCTTCTTAGCCCAGGTGGAGGGACTTGGCTCTTACCTGCTGAACTGTTCCTGGAAATGTAAAGCTCTGGTAGCACCTGGGCGAGGGCTGTGGGGTGTATGCCAGGAGGGTTTGGCACTCTGGTTCGTATCCTGTTCCTACTGCTCCAGAAGTATCCATCTCTTGAGTTTCCCCTCCTAGACCCCTTTGGTTGGGCACAGGAGCTGACTGATCAGGACAAGCAGTGGGGACGATGGAGGAGACAGATGTCTGCTTACTGACATGTGCTGTAGGGTTCATACACGTCCTCTCTCACTGGCTGCCGCCTTGTAGCCAGAAACTGAGGGAGACTCACAGAGCAGAAGTTTTGATGGGCCTTGTTGCTGAAGAAGGGTTCTGCTGAGCAGTGCAGTTCTGTACTTCACTATTGGAATTGCTGGATTTCACCGTTCAGGTAGCAGCTGTTGTTACTATTTTTTATTTCCAGCCCTTGTTGGGATTGATGTCACCTCCCTTCTGTATTGTGCTGTGCCAGGCTGGCCTGGGGTTTGCTGTGGTTAGAGGGGTGCAGGAATACAGCACACTGCACACTTGTTTCTCAGTTTGGACTTTTAAAACAGGTGGGACAGACCAGATACATGCTTTTAGTAGTTTTTTACCTGCTTTTAAGGTCGTGCTCTTGCTGCATCTTAGAGTAATGATGTGTGGATATAGTCTTTAAATCACAATTCCCAACTCTTCTGCGATTCCTTTGCCCCAGCATATTACTATGTCTGTGCCTCTCTTTTGGGCTTTCTCCTGATAAGGATCCTTCTAGCCTCCTGGGAGAAGGGCTTATCCATTTCATCCTGGAGTTGTGGAATATGTGCGCCCAACTCTGTGGCAGTTGGAGGAAAGGGGTGCCCTGGCAAAATCCCAGCAGAGGAAGAGGATTTCCTCAGGAGGAGTAACATGCAGATTACTCTGCTCTCTTCAGCACAAGTAGCGTGCATGATGTTTTTTGCCTGCTTTCTCTCTCCTCTGCCTTTACTCCTTCTCTCTCCCTGTATGCATCTCTTTGGATAAACTCTCTTAACTGCCATTATGGGGCTGCCCAGGGCATGTCACGGGGGCTCAGGTTACTGGGCAGATAGTTAATCCCTTTATTGCCTCACAAGTTAGACACTTGCTGCTCCTATCATATTTGGGAGGGGGCCAGAGAACTTGCATCCCTCCCCCAGTTCCTGATTCTGCTGAAGGATTGGTGTGAGGACTCGCACGTGTTGCGATGGGACACGGTGGCTGTGGCTTTGCCAGCAATTCTGGAGACACGTGTATAGCCCTCCTTGAATGGGTGGGGAATGTGCCAAGGACAGTGCAGCAAACTGGGACTGGGAATATGCAGCATGCATAGTCGTTCTCCCCTGTGCTGTCTGGGTAGCCTTGGGTGACACTGAGCCATGCTTTGTGACAGGTGGAGGACAGAGACAGGGCCAAGGTGTTGGGTGCAACTCTCAAACGTGCAGCGGCCTGTCCTCAGAGCTCTCTTATGCAGGAGCTCTTCACGTGACTATCTTTTGGGTTTCAGGTGACAGCAAGCTCCAAAACTCTCAAGTACAGCTGAGATGTCTTATCTGCCCTTCAAGCTGAGAATCCTTGCTTAGAGGGGGGGTCCTCACAGGCACCACCAGGCTGTGCCGACTTCTTCAGCTGTTCTAGCCACTCCTGCAACATTGGAAGCCTTCAAAGGTTAGTTATCGTGCATGTTAAGTAGATGGTTTACATGTGCTTGCTCCCTTGCTGTTTTAGTGCTTCTAAATCGGTAAAGAGGAGATAATTGCGTGGCAGAAGGACTTGGCTCTGTGGGTATTTGGGACCTATGGGAGGCTCTGGAGACAACACTGGCACTTGTAAGCCCAGTTCCCTGGAGGGAAGGACCAGATTCTCCACAGCAATCCTTTGAATAAAGTGTGATCCCATCTCTGTGGCTGTTCACCCGAGTGTGCGTGTCTGGATCCTTCTCCCCAAACACTACTACGGTCTAGTGCTTATTTCTTGTGTAGTGGGTAACAAGTCACTGGGACCTCGATTGAGGAGCTGGAACAAGCTCTCTGGACCAGGGAAAATGGGAAGACCCCTTTCTGAAGGCATGGAACTTGTGCTGGCATTGTTCTGTCCCAGCAGCTTCTTTTCCCTCTGTCTGCTACATCAAGTGTTTCTTTGGGGCCACTGTTCTCAGTGGCCACCTCTCTCTCCCTGCCCCTCATTAGTGTAGGGCCTGGCATGCCAGCAGGAGGGAGCCTCAGCATGTCTACGCCTTGATCGGATTTGTCAAGGCTCCTTCCCTTTTCTTCCTGTTCATTGAGGTCTGAAACAAAGCAAACAGAGGAGACGAATTCCAAAGAATAGGAGTGAGGGAAGAGAGGAACGCTGGAGTGACAGGCTGCCCCTGCACACACACACCCCCTGCCTTGGTCTGGTGGGGCAGAGCTGGTGGCAGAGCATTTCGGGAGGTGAGGCCATTCCTTGGCACTCCTATTCCCAGCTCTGGCTCCAGCTGCCTTTCTCCCGGTGCTGTGCTGTGGGGCTCCTATTCTTGCTGCTCAGGTAGCTTCCAGAGCCTCAGGCTTGCTGCCTACTCTGCACAGGCACGTGTGCCTGTGCACAGCTTGAGGGAAGCAGGGCATTATTTGAACTGCTTTGTTTGTCTTGGGCTGTGGTAAAAGGTTTCCGTCTTTACCTGTGTCAGGAAATCTTCCCCTGCCAGGCAGATCCAAAGAATGGAGCTGAACTTCTGCCTGGGTGCCAGAGCAGCGAGGCTCTGGCCCCTCCCCATCTTGGAGCCAGATAAGTGCTGGAACAAGGCTCTTTTGTGCAGACAGGTGTGTGAAGTGGAGGCAAACGTGCTCTGGCACTCATATTGTTTCCCAGGAGGCAGGAGACTAGGGAGGGGAGTCATGGCCAGCCAGACAAAGCTGCCACAGGTAAAGCTTTGTCAAGTCTTATAGATCTCCCTGCTTCCTCCTTTGTCATCCCCAGGCCATCACAAAGTTTGCCCTTGATCCTGCCCCTGCCATAGATTTGATCAAGGAAGGCAATAGGATGCTCAACAGCCCCAGTATAAAGCACTTGTGGTGAAATACATCCCTGCTAGTAACACCCTCCTCCTTGCATTTAAGCCATGGCCTCTTCTTTCCTTTCCTTCTTCCTCCTTGTTCTCTACCTTCTGGCAATCTTTGCACTCTACTGTTTAATTAAGAGCAGAGCAAAGTACTTTGATTCCAAAATGTCCAGATTAAGGGGTTACTAATCCTCTTCTTCAATGGGTGCTCACATCCTGTACAGCCTGTTATCAAGCTTCTGTTCCCTGAGTGGAAACTTGGCCAAGCTTGAGACCTCTACCTCTCTTCCTGCTTGCTGTGCTGAGGAGGAAGGGCGAGGGGTGACAGGAGAGCCATGGGAGGAGAAGCAAAGCAAGCTCTGGGCTTACAGAATTCTCAAGGTGGGTTTGTAGTCAGCACTGGCTATCTTTGCTTTTTCTGTCCTGTCTGGTTTTGGTGCTCCAGGAGCAATAAAGCAGGGGTTTGGTGTTTTGATTTTGGATTTTTTTTTTTGAGTGCTGTCTTCCTATTCTGACAAAATAGCCTTTGTGTCAGAGGAGGCAACTGCTTCCCTTTGTGCATGTGCTTGTGTGTTTATTTGCTGGGTAATTGGGTTCAGGGGTGTGCCTTCCCTGTGCATACGCCCCTCTCTTGGTTTCCCAGGAGTCTCTTCTCTGCTCTTATTCCCAGGTAATGCCCAAGTGGAGCAGCACTGCTGAAAGAGCAGGGCTCCCTCACAAGAGTGGGAAGTTGGTGCTTGGCAGTGCTGCATGAGGCCGGTTGTATTCTCATCTGGGGAGGCTGAGATCCCTTTATTGGTGTCAGTGAGAAGGGGAAGGTGTGGAGTATTTGTGGATCCAGATGGAGGCACCAGGAGGGAAGACAGAGTAGCGAGGATAAGTGTGGTGGGAAGGGTAAGAGTCCTCTTGGAAGCATCCTGGAAGACCTGATCACAGGATGGTCTGAGCTCTTATGCCTCTCCTGGTGGAGGCTGGGCACTGCACAGAGGTTGCTGTGGATTGCACAAGACACGAGCTTTTGTCCTCAGCCACTCTTCTGCTGCTCGGTTGAGCTATGCTGTTTCTTCCCTGCCTTTGTCCTTTGGTGTGCAAGTTCAAGGTTTAGCTCAGCAGTGTGAGAAGCCCCAGAGACAAGGAGCAGCTGGAAGGGAGGAGGGCTAGTAATGGGTTTGGATGTTGGGAGTATTCTCCTTTCCACTGCCTGGCTTTGGGAACTGCCCCCCCCCGGGATCCACTTTTTTTTGGGACACCTCCTTTTTTCACCCCCATCAGAAACTACCTCATTTCCAGTTTGAAAGATGCCCTATATGGGTTTTTTTTTGCCAGTAAGTTTTATGTCTTAGCCTGGACAGCATTTTTTTCTCCACAGTGTTATCAGAGCCTCTTGGCAAATGTGCAAGCTTCTCTGTAGCTCAGAATCACTTCTGGTCTTACAAAATGCCCAGGGCACCCTGAGTGGATGGCACTACTGCTGCTTGGGTTTTTTAGAGCCTGCCCTGAGCCATTCTGGTTTGCTATTTATAGTGCAGTTGTTCCATTCCTGTGTGGATGAGCTCTGCTTTCAGCCTCACTTGGGCACTGAGGGCATTGGTGCCAAGAATAGCTCTGGACAGGGAAGATACAGGAGTGGCTGCTGGAGCACAGCTCCCAGTGTGGGTTAGTCCCTTGTGGAAGAGGTACCAGGCTGCATCCATGAGCTCAGCTGCTTTTCACACAGAGGAGGGGGATTGCCTTTCCTTGTCACTCAGTGCCTTGTGTGTGCCTGGCTGCTGGACTAGAGCTTGGCATTGTGAGAGTCGGTATTTGGAAGAGTTGCTCCAGTGACCAATACTAGCAGGACTAGTGAGGGACCATGGTGTCATGAGCTGATGGCATGAAGCTGTATCAGCAGAGGATTATGTTGGTTATTAGGAAAAACCCAGAGGGTGACTGGCACTGGAACAGGCTCCCCAGGGAAGTAGTCACAGCACCAAGCCTGACAGAGTTCAAGAAGCTTATGGACAGTGCTCTTAGGCACATGGTGTGATTTCTGAGGTGGTCCTGTGCTGAGCTGGGAGTTGGACTTGATGATCTTTGTGGGTCCCTTCCAGCTCAGGATATTCTATGATTCTGTGCTGGGCAGTTGACATGGGAAGCCCTGTTCCTAGCATGTGCTCCAGGCAGTGATAGTGACCTTGTGTGTCCTGAACTGCTGCCCACTGGGTGGCTGGATCCCTTGCAACGGGGTACCTGCCATTCCTTGCACAGGACCCTGCTCTCTTCCCCCCAGGGAGTGTTTGCTAACCCCAAGGGAGCTCCAGATAAGGCCTGAAAGGAGCCTGCAGCACAAAAAAAAATCAACACACTCCTCAGCACTGCTGCTTGGGCAGAGCTGCTCCAGTGTTTTGGCTCTTTATGCTTTCAGCTTGTCTGGAGACCAGAGCTGGACAAATAATTAATTGCTTGATTTAGTGCCCAAAATGAAAAGCTGGAGGGAGAAAAACTCAACACAGACAAATTTGAGACCCTTTATCTTTTCTTTTAAATGTAATGCAGCTCAATTACAAACAAAACAATGCAAAACGAGACTTTTTTGCTTGGAAAACAAAGCATTTTGTTCTTGTCCAAAACTTGTAGTGAAGGAGCAAATAGCTCTGAGCTGTCTGGAAACTGCAGTTTTCAATCAATAACTATTCAGCCAAAAACACTTACCCATTTCTGCTGGTAGCAATGCAGAGCAGGCACCTGACAGCTTGGCTCACAGCCATGACCCTGGCACCTCCCCAGAGGTGGATGGTGTCCCTACTTCTTGTGAGCTTTTCCAGGTAGAGTGCCAGTATGGGGGGTTGTTTGAGTCCCTTTGTCTCCTTTTTCACTGTAATTAACCTAATTAATTTTGCCTGAGGTGATGCTGACTCGACAAGCATGTGTAGGGGGTAGGTTTGGTCTGTTGTGCTGGGATATGGTCTCCCTTGTCCCATCAGGGAGGACCATCTGGTGCAGGCTGTTCAAAAGCATTTCCAGGAAGCCAGGGGGATGTGGGGTTTTTCCCAACCCATGGGCACTGCTAGCTGGAATTTTGGGGTGTCAGTCCCACACAGGATGAAATTCCCACCCCTTGCTGTATCGGCATGCTGCCTGCTGTGTGTTCCAGCTGTGCTGATGGCAGAGCTGGAACTGCTGGAGGGCTTGCTGCAGGCTGGCTTGGATAAAAGCTGGAGCTCCTGGCTGCCGACCCTGCTCAGCTCTGACCCCAGGAACTGTTGCAAGCCCGCAGCAGTGAAAGTGTCAGGAAATGGCAGAATGAACAGGTATTGATGCCCATAGCACATCCGGAGACCAGGACACGGTGAACTTAATGGATTCAGAGCTGGCCATTAGCTGCAGCACAGACATCAGCAAAAATGCAGATTGTAGAAACCTAATCCCATCAGAGAAGAAAGGAGCTGGAGATCAGCCCCTGTTGCTGCTCCTGTTTCAAGAGGCAGTTGGGGTCCTCCTGCACAGTGCCCAGGCCTAGTTCCTCCTGTGCCAAGCCGTGCTGGCCAGGGAGGCGTGTGGAGGAGATTTGATTCAGGACTCTGCGGCCTCTGTGTCTGTCCTCAGTTAGGTTTGAGCTTCACTAGGCCCAGAAAAAGGCCAGTCAGTG